GCCTCCTTGATGAGGTGGGAGTCCAGCAGGCCCAGCACAGTGTCGCACACGCCCCGGAGCTCCGTCTCTACCTTCTCCCGGTACTCTTTGACCTCGGGGCCCTTCTCTTCCGACCCCTCCTCGTTGCTCTTCTGCTCGATGCTGGACAGGACCCTCCAGGCCGCTCTCTGGCCGCCCACCACATTCTTATAGGCCACGGAGAGCAGATTCCGCTCCTCGCAGGAGAGTTCCTCGCCCTTTTCCACGGCCCCCTTCATGAAGGCTGCCATGTCCTCATAGCGCTCGGCCTGCTCCGCCAACTTGGCCTTCTGGATCAGACTGGCTTTCTCCATGACTCCGAGGACAGACAGGTGGGCGAACTGGCTGCCTTGAGACCAATGCTGGAATCTGTGCCTCTCTTGCTCGGGGTCTGCCTTTTGGCTGGGGTGGCATGGCCTGGAGAAGGGTTGGGAGTGGCCTGGGGCGGGCCTGGGCCCTGCCTCCTCCTCTTCTCCCCACACCCTTTCCGGTTTTTCCTTTCAGCAGGAGAAACCTGGTCCCACCTGAGCAGGCATCTTTCAGGCTCCACACTGCCCCCTGCTGTTCAGACCTGCATTGCAGGCGTGTTCTGGTTTACCAAATCAGATTGTTTCCGAGGCCTTCCAGGGGTAAGGATGGCTGCAGCCGGGCTACCTTAGCCCCGGCAGAGCTCAGTGAGCTGGTGCAGGGGGCTGGCATGGTTCAGGTGGGAATTCAAGTGTGGGCAGCGCTACACAGCTTCCCAAACACTTTAGCGTCCATGATCTGATATAACCCCCGTGATGGCTCTGTAGGACTGTAGAAGTGGAAACATCACGTCTCAAGAGGAGAAACTGCTTAAGGTCACAAGCTGCCGGCCGGCTCCTGGTTTCTTCTGGCTTTTCTCCACAGAGGCCTGTGACCCCGGAGCCATTATCTGGGATTGAGAGCCAGACTTCTTCCTGAGCCGGCCCAAAGACCGTGTCACCCCATGGTGCTTGTTCTCCTTCAAGGTCCCCTCTGAACACCCAGAATGCGCAGGTGGCATCTCAGGGTGCCACTTAATTAAGTGTTTAACGAGTGGCCTCTGACGCTCCAGCCCAGCCTTTGTAATTAGTCACCCAGTAGGTTTGTTGGACACCTTCCCCAATACAGCACAATTTTCCCTTTCAAGTTGGTGGCCTGTTGACACTTGTCTGAGACCTTACTCTCTGGTCCTCCACGTCAGGGCACCTGTCCCTTCCCAGCTGCCTGCCGTCATGTGTCAGCAGGGCTCACAGAGGGCGGGACTCAGATTGCCCTGTCAGAGGCTGGGAATCAGGCCACTGAGGCGCTGGGTCCAGTTTGGTCCCCCAGGGGGGACGCTAGCACCCTGGGAGGAAGACAGGGCTGAAGAGAGGGAGTCAGTAATGACACATACCATTTTGTTTTATGGAGTAGCCATTCCAGCTCAGGGAGATCCCCGACTTGGCTCCCAGAGGTTCTCCAGTCCCTTCTCACTGATCAAGGCCCTGCCTCCAACTGAGAGAAGCCTCCTCAGAGATGGAGACCACTTTGTTCCCAACAGTCTGTCCCTGTATGGTTGGGCCCTGACTTCAAGCCTGATCAAGAGTATGGGCAGGGAATGGAGGGGAGATTCCTGTTTGTGCCCCACCCTCAAGCTTAGATGGGATGCCAGGGATCCTTCTAAGAACCTTCTCCCTGGGACCCAACCAATCTAATCCTTGACCTAGGACTATTGCATAAGCCTTGACTGTCCCCCAACTACTGCCCCCCCCCCGTGGTACCTCTGGGAGGGAGGTGTAGGCCTTGTGCTTGTGCCACAAGAGACTCTTCAGACCCTGGCTAATTCTGGGTGGCATGGCAGTGCACACCCAGAGTCCCAGCACTCAGGCTGACTGACATGGGAGGAGTTCCAGTTGGGGGCCAGTTGGGCTACAAAGAGACAGGCTGCCCCCCACCTCAAACCCCCAAGGAAAAAAAAAGAGGTTGGGAGGTGTAGCGTGGCTGGTAGAATTCCTGCCTAGCGTGAATGGAGTTGGATCCCCAGTACGGCGTAGCCTGGTGCACATCTGCAATTCCATCACTCACGAGGCAGGAGCAGAGGGAGAGGGAGCTGTGCAAGTTCGAGGCCAGTCTGGTCTACCTACGGAGTGCCGCCATGTTTGGTTTAGGCAGTGGTGCTGGGATTGTCCCCACGGGTCCCAAGAACTGTACCAGCTAAACTACATCCTCACCCGCATCCCTGTTCTTGGTTCTTTTCCCTTTTTTAGTTTTTCTTTTTTTATTTCTTTTTTTTTTTTTTTTTTTTGGTTTTTTGAGACAGCATTTCTGTGTGGCTTTGGAGCCTGTCCTAGCACTCGATCTGTAGACCAGACTGGCCTTGAACTCACAGAGATCTGCCTGCCTCTGCCTCCCAAGTGCTGGGATTAAAGGCAGGTGCCACCACTGCCCGCCTCTTGGTTCTTTTCTAGTTGGGTTCTATGGAATGAGGAAAGATCACAAACTATCCGTACCATGTGGCCCAGCCAGGTGTCCACGGCAGAGAAGGGGTTCTCTGCCTAGACTTCCCTCTCCAGACTGACAAATGGTTAGGTGCAATCGGCACTGACTCCTCCCTTTCCATCTAGAACATTCCTCTCAGCCCTCAAGGGCCTTCCTTGGCACTAGTCATCTAGCCTGGGCTTTCCCAAGCCCTGGGGGGCAAACTTGGAGATCCCAGGGCACTAGGAGCTAGGACAGCAGGGGCTGGCAAATTGACAGTCCAAGAAGGGAGTGTCCTCATACCTCTTAAGCAGGAAGCTGGTGGGCAACTGCAGCCAGTTGCTAGACCCTCAGCACGCCTCTCACTCCTCCTCCACTAAAGCAGGCTGCTCAACACTCCTGCTGGCTGTGGCCTGTAGATCCTGACTCAGTTCCTGTCTCAGTTGCCTCCCTTTGCCTCCAGGCTTCTACTTCCCAAGTCCAGGAGCCCAGGCAGGCAGGAGGCAGCAGGTCCTGGCAGAGCATGGGACTCCAAAGCGGCTGCCTGAGTCAGCAGGATGGGAGATGGGGTTACAGTGCAGGGAGCTCTCCTCATCCTGGGGGCCAGTGCCCACCTTTCTGGAGAGGCTGATTGCAGCAAGAGGGATTCTTATTATAGACTAGAAAGAATCTACCACAACTGGCAAAGCCCTTTCTTTTCTAGTAATTTGGGGAACTTTTAGCTTTGGAATGACCATATTCAACAGTTGACCAGAGGGCTTTGTGGTTGGTTTTAAGAGCTGTCTACTCAATGTGGGAAGGGACAGAGGAGAGCGCTTAGGTTGTTCAGCTGTTTGCCACTTTTTCTTCTAAGGTATTTCTGAAAGAGGTAGCCAAGCCCCCCCCCCCCCCCCGCCCCAATCCAGTTAGGGGTATGAGACAGTGTGGAATTTATAGGAACAGAATCAAGTGAGGTCAGCACGTAGAACTGCATTCCAGTTGGGTCATACAAGGCCTTGGGCAGGTCCCTTCCTGCCCCTAAGCCTCCCCACCAGTAACAAGAGGCTGGCAGCCCCCTCCTGGGATTCTCCTGGCATTCTCCAAGTTTAGGGCTTCTCCAAGACCCCACCCTTCCGTGCTGGGGTAACACAGCTCTGCTGGCTAAGTGACATTCCCTGAGCCTCAGTTCTCTCATCTGTAGGAAAGCTGAGATGAGTTTTCTCTTTGATTACAGGGAGAAAAGAGCCTAATGTTTAGCAAGCCCTGATAAATAGCAGAAGCAATCCTGTCCAATTTAGTGTGTGTGTGTGTGTGTGTGTGTGTGTTCCACAGTACCATGTGGAGATTTGTCTTCTAAGACAAATGGTTCTAAGTTTACTTCTGCTGTGTGGGGTCTGGGAATTGAACTCAGGGCATCAGGGTTGGTGTCGTGTCTTTATCTATTGAGTCCTTTTTCTTTTCTTTTCTTTTTCTAAGATTTTATTTATTGCCGGGCGGTGGTGGCGCACGCCTTTAATCCCAGCACTGGGGAGGCAGAGGCAGGCGGATCTCTGTGAGTTCGAGGCCAGCCTGGTCTACAAGAGCTAGTTCCAGGACAGCCTCCAAAGCCACAGAAACCCTATGTTGAAAAACCAAAAAAAAAAAAAATTTATTTATTATGTATACAACATTCTGCTTCCATGTATATCTGCACACCAGAAGAGGGCACCAAATCTCATTACAGATGGTTGTGAACCACCATGTGGTTGCTGGGAATTGAACTCAGGACCTCTGGAAGAGAAGACAGTGGGGGTTTTTTTGTTTTTTTTTTTTTTTGGTTTTTCGAGACAGGGTTTCTCTGTGTAGCTTTGGAGCCTATCCTAGTTCTCGATCTGTAGACCAGGCTGGCCTCAAACTCACAGAGATCCGCCTGCCTCTGCCTCCTGAGTGCTGGGATTAAAGGCGTGACAGTCAGTGTTCTTAACCTCTGAGCCATCTCTCCAGCCCCTCCTTTTTCTTTTCTTTCTTTCTTTCTTTCTTTCTTCCTTTCTTTCTTTCTTTCTTTCTTTTTTTTTTTTTTTCTTAAAGACAGTATCTCATGCAGCCCAGGCTAGCCTCAAGCTTTCTATGTAGTCGTGGATGGCTTTGAACTGATCCTTCTGCCTCCACCTCCCAAGTGCTGGAATTACAGACATGCATCATCACTCCAGAGGACAGCGTGTGTCCATGCGGGGAAAGCACGGGGAAGGGATGAAAGGTGGTTCTATGGAACTACCTTGGGTTGGGCTCAACTGGAGAACGTGAGCCTCAGACTGGAGTTTGACACCCCCTCCCCCTCCATTTTGGACTAGGCAGGGGTTTTCAAAGTTCAGAGTTCAGCTAATCTTGAAGGTCTCTGTGGAGCAAATGAGTTCTGGATAGAAAGCCAAGAGGTCACTTTCCCCATGTCCCTCCTGGCCTCACTGTCTCCAGAGCAGCACTGCCCAGCCAGAGGGAAGCTGGGAGGGAGGCAAACCCTTGCTTTCACACATCAAAGGAAAGTGATGAAGCACACTCAAGGCTCTGGCAAGAAGGGGAGGTGTCTTTATTTCTGTTACAAAAGGTAGTGAACAGCAGGCGAGCAGCCCCCCCCCCCCCATGCTGGGCACAGCTGATCCTCCTGGGTCTGGCCCTGTTGGTTCCTTGGAAGAACATGGAGCTGTGTAGCCCTTGGTGCCTGGGGCCAAGGATACAGGCTCACACTTCACATCCTCCTGGGGGGATGGGGGCGTGGGAACAGTGTTGAGCCGTTGTGCTCAGAACAGTCGCCAAACTTGTTCAGCAGCGTCATCGACACCCAGATAGCTCCAGAAGGAACCTGCTTGGCTTGCCTATGGCTCTGCTGACTGGGGGGCGGCTGTAAGGCAGGATTCCTCAAGAGTCTTGACACTCCATAAATCCGGGGAAGGGGCATGAAGGGAGGGGGAGGGGGGGCTCAGCAGGGTTACACTAGTGTATGTTGTGCTGAGGCTGCAGTATGGCTTTCTATACACTCTGGCCAGCAAGTGGGCTGGGGCCGAGAGGTCAGCACCTGCCCACTGTGGGGGTCTCTAGAGAGCACACAAGTAGGACAGGCTGGGGGACAGACCCTGTAGGCACAGATGGTGGCAGATGGGCCACAGGTTAGGCAGGTGGAGGTGCAGGGTGCCTGGCTCCCCCCGGGCCACTCCTGGAGAGGCAGAGAGTGGCGGTCCGCAGGAGCTCCTTCAGCCCCCGTACATACTGGACGATCCCGCAGGATGGCAAGGAAGGAGAAGAGAGACGGTTAGTGGATAGGTGGATGGAAAGGGGTAGCCTGCAGGGTCAAAGGCTACCACAGTACCTGCCTCTCTCCCAGAAAAGGGCCAAAGCTCAGGCAGCAGGCAAGAGAGCAGGAGAGAAACCAGGCAGTCAAGAGAGCTTGGCAGGGACACAAAGCAGGATGCAGAGGTGTTAGTGACCTGACTGAGGGCCCTGCACACCATTACACCAACGGCACAGGCACAAGCCCCTCAGAGCAGGTGTGCAACCCTCCCCAGCCTCACCCTTCTTCTGAAAGGACTGGTACTCTGCAAGAAGCCTCGGTCCAAGGAGAGGAGCCTTCTGTTTGTGGGGAGCCCTGGGGACCTGCCACCACAAATGCACACACACACACCACACCACACACCAGACAGATAGATGGACTCGTGGAGTTGGTGAGGCATGCGATGGTGATGATATGTTGTGTGAGGGGAGTGGGCAGTGCTGGCTGACAGGTGAGACATGGTCTTACCAGCTAACCCTCTGCAGAGAGGCCTGTTAGCTCCCCTCAGGCTGTGCAGGAGATGGCAAAATCCTGACAGGTGTCCTCCTGGAGGAGATACCAGAGAGGGCGGCCTATGTTATGATCTGTCTGGCTGTTGGCTACCTAGGAGGTTGGGCTGGGGCAGGGACAAGAAGCTCCGACTGGGACCTACTGTCTCAAACATGTTTTTAGCTGAGCAATCACTGGGGATAAGGGTGGAAAGTTAGCAGGAAAGAGCTCAGGAGGTACCAATTCCTGAGGCACAAGAGGGTAGACATGGTGAAGGCAGACAGGTGGGTTAGCCACAGCCCCTCTGCTGCAAAGTTCCCACCAGCCACCAGGCTGCCTGCCTGCCTCAGTTTCCCAGAAAAGACCCAAGTGTGTCTGAAAGAACCCAGAGCTATACTGCAACCCAGGGACTCAGCAAAATAAAAGCCAATAAAAACCAAACCAAAGCAAATCAGCTCTTAAAAACACAAGTTTTATTACAAGCAGGAACAAGGAAAACTGGCTTAAATAAAAGGCGGGTTAGAGAGCTCTCCTCCAGCCCCTCTATCTATCTCGAGGGCCACTGCAGGATGGCCTAGGCTCTGAAGCTACTTCTCCAGCCACCACGTCCCAGCTCTGTCTGGGAACCACTGGCCTTAGGAGCAAGGGAGGGAAGATGGAGTGACTTCCTCTGCTATGATCCAAGGGCTTCAGCCCACCTGAAGAGCCAAAGAGGGGGCCTAGAAGAATAAGTCTCTACTTTGATGAGAAACTGTAGCTCCCAGCACGAGGAGGATTTGCTATGAGCTCCTGACCGACCCACGCCTCCTGATCCATCCATTCCACGTCTCTCTTTACTCCCAATTAGCAAAACCGCCATCTCCTAGTCCCCAGTCATACTCAGAGCAGAACTCCAAGAAGGGGGTGTGGCTTGCAGAAGAGCAGCTGCTCCCCAGACCTGTCACCCAACCCACCACACCTAACTTCAGCCTGTTGGGGCAGGTCACAGCTGGGAGCCTGACCTGGGGGCTGGGCGGGAGAGTCCCTAGCCACTGGCTGTCTGAGGCCAGAAGGAAGAGGACAGGAGCCCAGGGGTCTCTGGTGACTAATCCTCCCAGTCCCCTGCTTCAGGCTGCTTCTGAACACAGGGTAGCAGGGAAAGGGAACAGCCCAGGGGATATGGAAGTCAGCTGCATTTGTACACAAGCGGCTACACACACACACACACACACACACACACACACACACACACACACCACTCACAGCTAGATCTGCTGTAATAAATGTATTAAATCACCTAGTCTTCTGAAATCCCTTGACTTGGCACTACACAGATAGCAACGTGTTAACTTCTATTTTAAAAAAAGCTATGTAAAAAAGAGGTCTATAAAATTGTGCAAAATACCCAGCATTAATAAACCCGTTTCAAGTATTGCCAGCATGACCTAACCCACCCACCTCTAACCCTGACTTGGAAGAGATTTGGGGGGCACAAGAAAGGATCCTTTAGAGTCCCCATGGCTGGGGAAGGCTGAGTCCCCATTCCTAGGGTGCTGCCCAGGACTCTGCAGGAGCTGAGGTTCTGGGGGCCTGGATGGCTGGTTTGTCTTCCTCTGACACAGGCTGCCTCCCACCCTCTACCCATGCTTTCTTTCTACTGGTACCCAGCTCTATCCTATTGCCCAACTCCATAAAACCCTCCCCCTAAACCCCATCAAAATAACCTTAACCATCACAAAGGGAATGCAGGAGCCCCAGACCAAAGCAGTCCAAGGAGGGGTGCTGGCCTGCCATCTGTGGCAGTCCTGCTTCCAGAAGCCCCTGGCTTCCCCAGGGCCCAAGCAAGCCTCCAGCTGGGAGACTGCCCACTCAGTTCACATCCTCACTCACACTGGGCCTCTGTGGGCACAGGCAGTGACTTGGCATGGTCTCCTTGGTGACCTCCAGAGGCTGTGGCTCTCCTCTCCTGCCAGGGACCTAGGGCTCAACTGTGGGGACCTGGGTTTGGGGAGCAGAGGGCACAGCTATGGGACAGTTCAGAGAAAGCCACACAGGACGGGAAATAAATATGAAAAGACTTGAGTCTTTGGCAGCTCTGCTTCTCTCGGATGGTATGGGGAGGGTCCCGGCAGGCGTGGAGGGCAGCAGGTGGCAAGCATTGAGTCACATTCAGGGGTGGCCTCCTACCATGCTGGCATCTGGCTTGGCCCCACAGGCTGGCTCGTCACTTCTGATGGGCGAGGGCAATACAGCATCAGACTGCACGAATCCCCGCCGGTCAATCAGGCTTCCAAAACATAAGACAGGGCATGAGCTTCTGACAGGGCTCCAGACCAAAGGCCAGGTGGTGTGTCAACATAGACAATGTCTTCCCAGAAAGAGCCAGCCCAAGAAAAGCTGGGCAAATGGAAGCAGCTTTCCACTCAGAAGTTCAAGAACCTCCCTCTGGGGCTGATGAGACAGTTCAACAGGTGAAGTGTTTGCACCAAACCTGATAATTTGAGTTCAACCCCAAGGACTCATGACCTTCATAGGCACACCACCATATGTGTGTATACACACATACCTGTAAATACGTTTAAAATAAGACCTTCTGGGTACCTGGCTTTTGCCACGTAATGCATTAACTAGTTTTGTTGTTTATTTTATTAACATTACTATTTTTAGACAGGGTCTCACTAAGTAGCTCTGTAGATTGTAGATTGTTCTGGAACTCACGATGTAGACCAGGATGGCCTTGAATTCACAGAAATTCACCTGCCTCTGCCGAATGCTGGAACTAAAGGCACATACCACTATGCCCAGCTTATTATTTTTTGAGACAGGGTTTCACTATGCAGCCCTGGCTGGCTTGGAACTCACAATACAGACAAAGTTGGTCTTGAACTCACAAATTTCTGCCTGTTTCAATTAAATGCTCCTGGATGGTAGTGGCGCACGCCTGTAATCCCAGCACCTGGGAGGCAGAGACAGGCTGATCTCTTTGAGTTTGAGGACAACCTGGTCTACAGAGAGAGTTCCAGGCCAGCTAGGGCCACACAGAGAAATCCTGTCTCAGAAAAAAAAAAAAAAAAAAAAGGGGAGAGACAC